GCTATATACATTCAATGCAATGCCAATTGAAATTCCAACACTATATTTCACAGAACTAGAAAAAAGAATCCAAAAATTCATTTGGAACCACAAGAGACCTAGAATAGCAAAAGCCATTATAGGCAACAGTCACATGGCACCAGGTGTAACAATTCCCAATTTGAAACTATACTACAAAGCCACTGTGATAAAAACAGCATGGTACTGGCAAAGAAATAGGCCTGAGGATCAATGGAACAGACTGGAAGACACAAAAACAAATGCAGATGTACTCAGCTACCTCATCTTTGACAAAGGAGCTCACCATCCTCAGTGGAGGAAAGATAGCCTCTTTAATAAATGGTGTTGGAAAAACTGGATGTCAACCTGCCACAGATTAAAATTAGACCCTTATCTTTCGCCATGCACTAAATTAAAATCCAAATGGATTAAAGATCTAAATATTAAAACAGAAACATTAAACTTGCTGGAAGGTAAGTTAGGCAGAACTCTGGAAGACATTGGTATAGGAAAAGACTTTATGAACAAATCCTCAGTAGCACGGGAACTAGCAGAAAGAATCAACAACTGGGATCTCATCTTACTAAAAAGCTTCTGTACTTCAAAAGAAACCATTAGCAGAACTAAGAGACAATCTACAATGTGGGAAAAAATTTTTACCAGCTGTTCCTCAGACAAAGGACTATTATCAAGGATATATAAAGAACTCAAAACAATCAGTCCCCCCAAATATAAAGACCCGATTCAAAAATGGGCATCCGAAATGAACAGACATTTCTCAGACAAAGAAGTAAAAGCAGCAAGTAAATATTTGAAAAAATGTTCCACATCACTGGTCATTCGAGAGATGCAGATGAAAACAACACTGAGATTCCACCTCACCCCACAAAGAATGGCTGCTATCAAGAAATCACACAATAACAAATGTTGGCGGGGTTGTGGGAAAAAAGGAACCCTTCTCCATTGTTGGTGGGAGTGCAGACTGGTGCAACCACTATGGAAATCAATATGGAGATACCTCAAAGAGCTTGGACTGGAGGTTCCATTTGACCCAGCCATCCCTCTGCTGGGTATCTTTCCAAGAGAACTAAAAGAATCATATCACAGAGAAGTATGTGCACCCATGTTTATAGTGGCACAGTTTCTAATAGCTACATCTTGGAAACAGCCCATTTGCCCATCCGTTGGAAACTGGATAAAGAAGATGTGGTTTTTCTATAAAATGGAATATTACTCAGCCATAAAGAATGAGAAAATAGATTCATTCATAGGAAAACAGATACATATTGAAGATATACTCCTAAGTGAAATAAATAAGTCACACATGTGTAAATACCAAACAGTTTCCCTGGTGTGAATAATCTGCAACAATGCATAAGATCCTAATAAGATTTCTGACATTGAGAAATGGGAAGAAAGGAGCTAAAGGTGTAGGGAAGGTGGGATGGGTAGGGGAAGAGTAAAAAGGGAAAAGAAAAAAATGTGAGAGAATGAAAAGATGAAAATAAAGTGTTTGTAGATGGGGAGGGGCGGAGGGAGTGAAGGGAGGGCAGAGGTAAGGGGAAAAAATGAGAATGGAGACTTGTCATGTAGAGGTACAAGATCCCAACAATGAATGTAACTGTACTGTATCCCTAAAATGTACCAATAAACTCAATTAAAGCTGAAAAAAAATTAAATGGTACTTCCAAAAAAAGTTGAATTTTCTGTGTTGATGTGTGCACTGCTCCTAAGAAAAACACCAATTTCTCAAGTAAAAATTCATATTATGACTTTACTCATATCATTACCTGACTCTTAGAGACTACAGAATCTTTTTTTTTTTTTTTGATACCAGGGATCAAATTCAGGACCTTACACTTGTGAGGCAGGTGGGAGACTACAAAATCTTGGTGCAATTCTCATGACATTTTAGAGTTCTAATGTGATTTAAAAAGTGTCTGGAATACTACAGAGTAAAAACACACTGCTGCTGTTCTTACACTGATAAATTATGAAATATTTATTTCACCAATATCAAAGTGCAACATCAATCCTCTGTCAACAATGTCATATCCCCGAGGACAACATAAATTAAAAAAATAATAATAGAAATAATAATAACATATAATTATTAAAATTTTTATATAAAGTGTAAGTAAAAGAAAAATACTTATCTCTTTTTATTGTTATAGATACAAAAATAAATAAATACTATAAAAACAGTAGGAAGCTTCAAGAAAGTCTGATGGTTTCCCTTCATTCCCTTTCCAATGAGGGTGCAATTCTGGGGCCAAGGTTCCTTCCTTTTTTCCAGCGCCTTCTACCCTTGTTTGCCATTTTAATTTGTATATGAATTGCTTTGCTAAGAATACTAACCAATTAAGTTCATAAGGCAAATAATTTATTTAGAAATCTTTGCGCTCTTGATAAGTTTCATCAAAATAAGTCCTTAAAAAAAATACTTTTCATGTCCTTCCACTTTACACCCACCCCAAAGAAAAGATCCCTGAAAACTCTGCCTAAGATGATAAAAACCTAGTTCTAGACTCTGGAAAACATGATATCAGTAGTGTGGGGTGCAGAAGCTCTGATCACCAAAGACAGAAGCAAACAAATCATTACTGGGGTGAAGGAAAAATTACTAACCGTATCCTCCACAGGACCTAAAAATGTTTATACATTTTAAATGACAATGTTTGTATAGTTTACTGATTCATATTATAAAAAGAAAGCTTGTAAACAACATAAAAGTATGAGTATGCAAATACTATAATAATAATTTGAGCTGGGTGAAATAGCACACACCTTTAATCCCAACTCTGGGAAGCTGATGCAACAGGGTCACAAGTCTGAGACAAGCCAGGGCAATTTAGGGACTTAGTGAGGCTCTGTCTCAAAATAAAAAATCAAGGCTGAGTATGTAGCTCAATGTAAAGGCCCGAGGTTCAGTACGGAATAAAAGTGGTACTAAATAACTTCCTTACATGGATTTTTTGACATTATAATAATAAATATCTGCATTCCCACTTACTTGCATTTATCTAACTTTAACATTTCCCACCATTATGAAATATGTTTTGAGTAATTATTTTCAGGAGGACAGTGAATCAAATATTGTCTGATCATTTGTGTGCCTGACAATGTCTGCATTAGTACATTAAAACATTTCCACCACAAAGTTCTGGAGACTTTTCTTTCATGTCTTCTGGAGTTAGTATCATAAAAGGAAGAGAAAAAGATCTGAAATCAACTTAGTTTTTTATATTTGTAGTAACATAGTGTGTTTTAAGAAATTATTATTACTCTGTTTACATGCTTGTTCTCTATTACTTTATGTTTCATCCCTGTAATTTAAAACATTTAGTAAGCATTTGCTTATGAAGGTACGTTCCTTGATTTTAATTTTGTAGTGGGCCCTTTCAGACTACATTTATAAATATTCTCAACTCCAGTTTTCCTCTATTGGTGTGTCTGTTTTTCTGTCTTAGTCCTTGGTTCTAATCTACTCAGGAGAACTGCTATTGGTGTATGTTTTCCTCAATGTCTGTCATCTTCTCTTGTCTTTTATTTTTTTTCTCTGCTTTTTTCTGACTTATAAGTTTGGTAATCAAGGTTTCCTCAAGATCTCTAATGTATTTCCAGGTCATTTGGTGCTTTGTAACCTTTAGTGCTTTTAGCTATTTGCTTTTTACTATTTTTCTTTATTTTGTCCATCTTTCCTTATCCTCCATGCTACTGTATTTTTATGACAAAAAAAAATTTAGACCTGAAAAAACCTACAGGTAGGGAAAATAAGACAATAAGTTCTGGCACTTACTACCCAGATTTTGAGATGAAACATTAAAAATGGGATTTATCTCTTTGCATTATTTTAAATATATTTTCCAAGATATTGTACAGTTTGTCTATATTTATATGTTTCTACCTATAAATCAATTAATTAGACATATAACTGTATATTACCTCTTGGATATGATGATGAGGAAGATGATGATGATGATTGAAGGGAGCATTCCTGATTAGGGATCTGGAGGTGGTGAGTTTATCCTTTAATACCTGGGTGGGCTCACTGTAAGCACAGGTGCCTTGTAAGGTGGAGGCAAGAAAGTCAAAGTCAGAAAAAGGAATGTTACAGTGGAACCAGGATTGGAATGATGAACTAAGACCCAAGAATGCAAGTAGTTTCCATAAATTGGAAAAGATAAAAATTATGGATTCTCTGCTAAAATCTCCAGAAGAAACACAGCCCTACTGATACCTTGATCTTAAAATTATGCCCTCCACAATGCATGAGCATAGATTTATATGATTTTTACTCCCTAAGTTAGTGATAACTAATTAAGCAGCAAAAGGAAACTGATATGTACAGAGACTAAATCTCACTCCATGTGCTTGAGTCAGTGCTGCATAACACCAAGCCCACTACTATAGTTCGAATCTTGAGTATCCCCCAGAGGCCCATGTAGTAAATATTGGTCATCAGCCTGTGACCCTTTTGGAAGGTTGTGAAATCCTTAGGAGGTGTGATCTAGTGAGAGGAACTTATGTCACCAGGGGTATACCCTTGAAAGGGATACTGGAAGCCCCACCCCGTTCTGCCTCTTTGCTTCAAGCAAAGGTAAGGACTTTCTCTGTCTGTGCATCTGCCTAATGTACTGCCTGATCATAGAAAAGCAACTGGACCAACCAACCATGGACTGAAACTTCTAAAACGGAGCCAAAATAAACCTTTTCTTTTCAGTTGATTGGCTCAGATATTTTGTAACAATAATGGAAAACTGAGCAAAACAACCAGGTGAAATCTTCCATAGACTGAAATCTTCCATAGACTGTGATGAATACACTATACATGGGAAAACATTAACCAGTGAACTCTACAGGGCAGACAGGGAAAATAGCATCCTCAGACTAAAGCAACTCCAGAAGAATTTTAGCTTGAGGCAGTGAAGCTGGTTGCTAAGGAGATGGCTGATTAAAGGGAAGCTCTGCTGGTTCAGTGTCCTGGTTCCTTTCCTGCCTTGGCCTTCCTTTATACGGTAGCTTGAGGACACACCATTGCTGAATCTGCCTCCTTCAGCAAATGAACTCTGCACTGAGGTAAGTCATATCCATGGCTTTCGCTGCTTCTGAATTGTACTCACTGTCTTAGATTAAATAGATTCAGTAATATTTTCTCAAATTGAGGAAAACATGATTTATTGTGTATTCAGCTAATTGAAAATAATCTGTTTAGTATAAACAGTTTAGAAAATAGATGCTAACACAAACACACACTATCCATATCTATATCCCTCTATAGATATTTAGATCTATATATCTGTATCTTTAACCTCAGAAACCCCACTTGGTTAATGTTGATAGATTTCTTTTTGTTTTCTTTTCTATTCATGTTTGTTTGTAACTTCAAAACTATTCAATAACTACTGTTTAGTAGTCTTTCTTTTCCCTGCTAAAACATTTGATGAACACTATGCTTCTAATACAGTTTTACAGTAATTTTATAGTGGCCGAATGGAATTTTAAAGATGAACTAAAATCTATGTACACATATCATTACATGGATATTTATGCTATGTTCAATTTTTCACTATTTTTCTTCTCAATATTTTTGTTCACCATGCATAGCTTCTGAAAATAAATTTTTCATCTAAGAAAATTTAAATTTTTCTACACATTGCCAAATTTCCTGTGCAAAAGTTCTAAAATTTTACACAAAAAATGAATATTTTAAAAGGAAATGAATTGCAAAATTCAAGTGTACAACGAAGAGGAAAATTGATAGTAACCTTTTGGAGGAGAGAAAAAAGTCTTTTCATATTTCATGGGATAAGCAAGAAAATCTGCTTTGCTTCCTTTTGAATTGATCATGTACTACAGAAAGAAAACAGAAAAAGATGATGCTCTGGAAATGTAGTAACCTCTTAAAAGGTCCACAAGATATGTTAGGAAATTTATTCCTAAAGACATTCAGGTGAATTTTTAAAAAAACTTCTAGTGTCAGAGTTCTCAGAGAGTTTCAATGGATGGAGAATCCTCATTATGGCAAAAAACGGAGGTCTTTTGAAAGTCTTTGTCTATTTCTGAAAAGTCTGGAACACATAGAGTTGATGTGAGACTGGGTGATTTAACCAGTACAGGTAATCAATATGTGCAGCGGCTGTTTACACAGACTGTGGAGAAACTCTGATTACTCACGTTTTGTGTTGTCAAGGCAAAGCCCACAGCGGCCATGGAGGCCAAGCCCTCTCCAGCCAGGCAGATTAGTGGAAGCTCGTGCACAGACTCTGCCTATTCTAGTGTGTGGTCTATTGCAGGGATCATCTGTTCCAATCTCTTAAATTTCCACTGAAAAAATGAGATAAATTTCCAAGTAACCAGCTTTATTTTTAAGCTTTTCCACCTGACACCCACAAAGTGATAATTATACTAAAAATAACTAAATAGAAACAATATATTAACTGGCTTCTCTGTGCCAAGGACCCTGCTATGCACTTCATATACATAATTTATCTTGGCTTACAACACTGCTGTAAGAAAGATAATGATTATTATTGTCACCATCATTATTATTAATGTGTGGATAAACACACTGAAAAACAGAAAAATGTCCAAGGGCCCATAGATGGTGAAAGGAAGAGATTTGAACCCAAGTCTTCTACATTCCACTCTTTTGTATTATCTCTTCTAGATAAGTCTCTTCTAGGTGAACCAGTACCTTTAGGTTTCAATTAGTAATTCCAGGTTCCAGAATTGAACACATACCTATCCCTGTACCTCTCATCTCTTAGTCCCTTTCATAAGAGTTTGTGGTGTTTTCTGCAGCTGAGTGATACTCAAGCCTAAATTTCACAAGCCACCCAAGCCTGACTCTCCTCCCAGTACTGCAAGACTAAAAGAATCTCCAACCATTTCTCTACTGTGTACAAAATTTTCAAAATTGCAAAAGTTCACCATATAAATATGTATATTCCAATTTTTTAAAAAAAGACCTAGATATAATGTGAGAGGACAGCAATTATAGAAACCATTCTCCAGTGATTTTTGAAGCATTTTTAGAAGCAAAAACATCTTGAAGAAAAAAATAGGACACAGATTCCAACATATAAAAAATAATTCCAGTAGTAGACGGCTAGTAAAGTTTATCATATAAAATTCAAATGACAGTATTTTGATGATATTCATCTTGGCTTGTTCTTTAATGTTTCCATTTTGTATGGCTATATGATATGATTAAAAACTTCACAGATTGTACTTGAAATCATAATTGTTTTTAAACAAAAGTTATAAACAACCTCAGTTCTTTTCTATTATATAACAGAAAAACTTTTACTCTGATGTTCTAGCAGAAGTTAATGAATTTTGCAGTTTGATATATAATATAACCTTATACACTTGCACATGAAGCAAAATATCCCTTCATGGGTGGGGGCATTAGGTGATGGACAGTCTCTTCTACTTAGCGTCCTGTAGACCAAATCTGCACTATCTTATTCTTTAGGCTTTGTGACACTGTATTTATTAAAGACCAGCTTGTTTTACTGATGTTTAATGAATGTTTAAATCCACTTTGAGATGAAAGAAATTGAACCAACATAAACTATCATTATCTGTGACCTTTATGTGTATGCTTTAAACCCCTGCAGTTTCTCTTTACAAATTTTAAAATCTCAGAGGTGATGGTTACTGTGAATCATCATTTGACTACATTTTTAGTGCTAGTGAATTCAGAGAAAGCCTTAAACCCCCCCAAATTCTTATTTCACTTTCTTTGACCACATTCCTGTGGGGAAAGGAAGCTAACCTAGGAGAATTTGCCCTACGGCTCACTCCCTTCAGTCTGTCTGAGTGTGTGTGTCACGGGAGTGCCCCCAAACCCAGCTCATCTCCGGAATAATTTGATTCATTTCATTAAATATAAGGTGTTTGGCCCCAAATCTAGAGATTCTGCTTCAGAAGCTTTTGTGTGTGACCTGAAATCATCATCATCAATTAGGTCATTCTGATGACTGTGAATGTGATTTTCTGAACTATGAGAGGTAAAGTCAGTTTTGAAAACTTTGGCCCCATCCCACACTAATAAAATCCAGTACTCTGAAAAGGACACAATAGTATATATGTTTGTCATCTGGAAGATTACTGTCTGTCGTAGAGTGGTGTGAATAAATCATTTCAGTGTCATCTCATAGAAATGAGCCACCTCATAGAAATTAATGAATATTGCTCCTGAGATGGACAATGAGAAAAGGCCACATTTTTTTTCTCACATGGAAAGTAAACAACTACTAAACCCTGATGGCAAGTTCATATGTGAACAATTTTTGGAAGCTTTATCAGCAGATACCAAAACCCAGTCATTTTAAACAGAAGGGAATGTGTGTGTGTGTGTGTGTGTGTGTGTGTGTCGTGATTTTTTCCCCCTGATCTACGTTTATGTACTGTGATGACTCCCATATTTCTCAATTTCATCATTGTTGACATTTGGGCCACATGCAATACTTCTTTGTGATGGGGCACTGTACTGCGCATTCTAGGGTGTTTAGAAGCACTTGCTTGCCTTTGCCACTAGATGCCACCAGTACTCCCCTAGTAATGATACTCAAAACTCCCAGGTATTGCCAATTGTCTCTGGAATGTGAATGCTTCTAGTTGAGAACCATTGCTTTAAGAAAATCATCTTTCTGGAGCTCCAGATTTTTATAACATCAGATGAGGGGTAAAGGTAACATGCATTCAAATGGAATGAAAAAGATATAATAAATGTCTGGTAAAATTAAATAACTAGGTAGAAAAATATAATTCAGATCCAGTACTACCTCATACTGAAAAATAAATTTCAAATGGTCTGGAATCCAATGGAAAAATTATTAGAATATTGAACATATAAACGAGATAATGTTTAACCTTGAGGTAAAGGAGATCTGCCTCAGCAAAAAAGAAAACTTCTTAAATCTTAATTCCATAACATTTGAAAATATGATTAAATCATAACTGAATTTCCCGCAAACCAATATTAAAGAAAATATATTAATATGTATAAAACTGAAGATCAATATCCATGGTGAAAAACCCCAGCAAATCATTAAATTTTATTTTAAAACATAGAAGACAGGCTAACAATTAAAAAGGCAATTTATGAAGCAAAATTAGGCAGCATACATTTAAAATTCAAAGATTCCCTATAACTCAAGAATATTCAACAATCTTGATCCCATCAGATGGACAAAATTTAAAAAAGATCTTTGAAATGTAGGAGTGGTAAAGGAAGCATGGAGGAACATCTGTGTTCATGCTCTATATGAGAAGTCACATTGCTTCAGTCTTATAGTGGGTAGTTTAGCAGTAGCTGTCAAAACATGGAGTGTATAAGCTTTCCCCAGATACTCTACATCTGTAACTGTATTCGGTAAAAATACTCAAATATGCACACAGTATGTGTGGACAAGCTTACTTGCATATATGTGTGTGTGTGTGTGTGTGTGTGTGTGTGTGTATCTTGGAGTTAGATAGGTAGAGACAGAGATAAAGGTACAGATAGGGATGCAGATACTGGGGATTGATCCTAGGACGTTGTGAAAGTTAGGCAAGCACGCTAAGTGCATCACATCAATATACTGTGTCTTGTTAACGCCAAATAAGGTAGCTTCAGGCAGCTGTTAAATAAAATGAGATATAGTAAAAATGTTGAAATGGAAAGGATTTTTGTATAGTAGAAAGTGTTAGACTCCTCAGTCCAGCCCTGCGCAGTGGGGTTTCCCCGCCCCGAGGGAAGAGGATCCCATGGGCAGGAGCGGTGTCAGCTCTGCACCCGAGGACACAAGAGAGGGAGTTTGCCAAGGCCTTCGTGGACGTGAACCTGCTGCTGGGCAGACATCATCTCCAAGGGGCGGCAGAAGATGAGGAGCTTGAGCTTCTGGAGTGCACCACACCGCGCAGGCCACGTTGCAGATCAGCCACAGCTGGAGGGCTTTCAAAGTTTTATCCAAAATGACAAAACACTGCTAAAAGTAATTGAAGAGGGTGTCACAGAGATTATAAAGATATTCCATGTTCATGGATTGGAAGATTAAAATTTTCACACTACTACAGATTCAATGTAG